ATGGGTCCGCCCCTGCTCCAGACACTGTCTTACGTGAGATTTACTGAGTTCGTTTGGTATTGTTTTTTCTAGTTTACAATGCATATCTCAAACCGTATCGTTGCATGAGATTTGCTGGTATAATTTGGTTTGATTTTTCTAATTCACACTAAACCTCTCGTTCTTTTTTCTGAATAATTACACTTTTAGTCACCTTTGTTGCCACTTTCTTTCACTTTAACGATCGTTCGCTTACGTAAATCCCCTCACATGAGGGCAATTTCGTCTTTTACCATCCAGACCGATGTTTAGAAAGTGGTTGCAAGTGGCCGGCCTAAAGGGGTAGGGTGTGATTTGCCCATGGTGTGAAAGGTTAAAAGAAAAAAAAGACCAAAATGCCCTTGAGTTAACTGAGTTTTTTTTTTGTAGACTTAATCAGAGAGACCAAAAGAGAAAGAAAACAAATATGAATGATGTGATGTCTAAAATTCTAGCCATAAGTTGATTAGCGATTTAAACTTAACTAAATTTATACCAACTTAAAAAAGAACAACGGAAAGTTGATGATGCCCATAAAATAAAACTATACAAGCTCAGCGTATCACATTCGGATGTGAAGTTCGGAGAGTAAGATGTACACAGACCAGACTTACACTAAAAAGTAGAGAGGCCGGTTCCGTAAATTCAGCCATCTAGGTTAGTATAACTACTCACTTGGTTTCTTTCTTTCAACTGCTATTAGCAACCGAGGTAGGCTTAAGTGACTACTAAAACCAAATCAAACCAGTATAATCTTACTTGAAAACAGCGTTAAGGTGAGATATACTTAGGGGCCGTTTATCAAACACTTACCCGGTAAGTGCTTACTGGTAAAATTTAACACTATTATGTACTTACTGGGTAAGATTTTAGTCCACCAAAACGACACTGTATACAATAATTTACCCGGTAAGTGCTTACCGTGGTAAGAGTCTGTCGCCCTCACTTACTGGGTAAGACTTTTGATTATTGTCTCGCTCTTACCAAGTAAGATTCTTGGTCCTTACTGTATTCATCCGGTGAGATAGTATTACTTGGTAAGCACTTACCCGGGTAAGCGTTTGGTAAACGGCCCCTTAGACGTGTCTTATTTCCAACTGTAGATTACAAAATCGACAAAACGTGTGAAAGCACATATCCTTAATCCTTTACCACTTTAACATGAGATATATTTGGTAAACATCATATCTTTTTAAACCATATAATATTTAACTATTCTTGATATTTTCCGATAATAAGACAAAATCGACATCCAATTATAATTATTGAAATATATAATACACAAAGACACAACTTTTCATCAAAGGCCCTATGGCCCAGCAGTATTGTAGTCTTTGACATCTTAGGAGATCAGGGTTTCAAACCTCACCAAACGTGAGGAGGGTATGTGAGTTTATTTGCTGCATTTGTCGTATACGCGTAAATGAGGAAAAAATATAATTGAGATAATCGATTGTTGTGGCACACGTCTTTAGAAGCTACTATGAAAGGTACGGATCGTGGTACAAATGGGAAAAGCAAAATTCCCCATTAAGTTAGCTTTTGAGCACTAGGGATTATCATTATTATTGCTACTATTACTATTATTATATTATAATGTGATCTCACATGAATCAATGTGGTTGGTAATTTTCAACATGAATAATATCTGGGATCATGTGACGTTAAATAAATAACACTAGATCTTCAAAACAAAACCTTCACAATGTTTTTGTTGTGAATGTTCWGTGTTTTTTGTACTTTCACAATGTTTTTGTTATGAATGTTTGGTATTTTTTATACATTCACAGTGTTTTGTTGTAAAGTTTTTTGTGTTATTTTATGGTCTCACGGGTTTCACAAATATAGGCTGGTATCATGTGAAGTGAACCCTGTAAACCATAATACTTKTATTTGAAGTATAATAAATTGGTAGGCACAAATGTTTTTTTTAAACACTTGTGCTTTCGCAACGAGTATCGCCTTGAGGATACAACTATCTAATTGGATTGATGCACGTCAATCYAATTCCATCGAATCGATAATATGTTTCATTCGATACTGCAATAGTACAAGTGTAGCTGATMTGGGATTCCAATATTTTTTTTGAAGTATATGATATTTATATACGACAAATGGAACAAATAAACTCACATACCCTCCTCACCTTCGGTGAGGTTTGAACCCTTGACCTCCTAGGACGCCAATTACTCACATACCACTAGACCAAAGACCTATCGGTTAAAAAAATATGATTTCAAGGTCAATAAAACCCAAGAGGTCCAAGACCCAATCTTTTGACCATTAAATATTTGTTRTGCCCTCACTAAAGACTAATACAAACTCCATACTTGTATTTTTCTCCATTTTGATAACTAATATGGTTTTAGCCTTGTAAACCCGTTATAGTTTCCAAAATGTTAGAAGCTGTTTACTAAACGCTTATCCGGTAAGGTCTTACTGGGTCATTACCGAACCGGATAAACATGACGAGGGCCAAGAATCTTACCCGGTAAGTGAGAGTGACAACTCTTACTCACTAAGCGCTTACCGGGTAAACTGTTGCATACAATACCGTTTGATGGACTACAATCTTATACRATAAAGTAAATTAGAGTGTTGACTCTTCCAACRTAAGTGGGTAAGCGTTTGAGGTAAACGGGCCCTTGGTCTAACACCCAACACATATAAGGAGGCATTTCAGCTRTTGAGTCYAGCAGGGTATCAGAACYTGAAGYTGTTATRTATTTGAGCAAAGTCGTTCCACCTTTTTACCAATTGAACGCCACACCCGWTGACGATTTTTAATGAAGTAAATTAACGAATCCGTAAGCTTCCCGTAACTCGAGTGTATCTTAATGTAATCTGATCTTTTAAACACAAGTGGTAAACATGTATTAACATTCAAGAAGAAAAATCTAATCTTACATTAATAGAGACAATAGATAGTGTGCCAACTCTGTATGCTGCACTATACTTTGTGTGCTTTCCTTTTCCAATATACAATTCAAACCTTTTCATTTGTCCTTTTGKAGTGTCGTAATTTACTATCCTAGGTTAACTGTATCGGATACTGTCTGTCTTGTTTATATTTGRACTCACGGTTTTAAAACGCGTCTGATAGAGGAAGTATCTGGTCCGTTATAAAACAACATTTGTTCTCCTGATCCCTAACCGATGTGAGATCTTACACAAACCTGATCTCGGCCCCCCAAAATAGAGGTCGTTTCTTCAATAAGCTATACATGACTATTTGATAGTGGCTTAATGATATAGAAAGTGGCTTATTCAGTAAGATTTTGGGGGAAACTTTATGCAGAAAGTCAAGTTTTTTTTCCCTTTCAAATCCGTCTTTCCGAGTTAAAAAATATGCGCATTCCATATATGAAAGAACTCCCCCAAATAAAAACTTTGTCAATCTGTATAGACGAATAACACAGATAGATTAATCCATACATGACTTAATGTAAAACCAACCATACAGCCTCTTAGCRGCTGTTTATTAAAGGCTTACTGGATAAGCGTTTACCGCCAATAGTCACCACTTTCACTAACCATGATRGCCTGTTGTGGAATATTCTCGACCATCAGGTAGGATTGTTGGTAAGCATTTATGAGCCTGTAAGCACTCATCGGTTAAAATAAGTAACACCCGATAAGTGGTTATCTGRTAAACGTTGATAAAAACGACTCCTTAATCAACTGAAACAACAATTTAGAAAAAAACCGACAAAATAAATTAGAAGGATATAGAGGAAGGTTAAGAACTTATGTTCAATATCGACATTGATGGACATGCAAAATGCACCAAACGATATTATCTTCTTCTCTAATAAAAAATTTATTCAAGTCAAATCATACGCTTGGTACCTCGGCAATCGTGGGTTCAGCAGGCTCCCATGCTCCCGCTCACTCGATTATTGTAAGTGAAAAATATTTAGGTGTCTAAAAGATACAGACCCTTAATTTTAAAGGTTGYTCTTAAATATTTTGAAATCAAATTTATAACAGATATCAAATGTGATGAGATAATTTCGTTACTTATATCTAAACAGATATTTAAATTTTACTTATAACTATAACTGACTTTTTCCATTAAGTTGCAAATTCATCTTAAAATTCGCCATTCTTTATCTCATGTTCCCAAAAACATATACTTAGGGGCCGTTTACTAAAYRTTTACTTGATAAGTGYTTACTGGATAAATTTCTTTATCGGATGAACATGACARGGGCCAATAATCTTACCGGGTAAGAGCAATGAGAAKGATGAAGAGTCTTACCCRGTAAGTGAAGATGACGACTCTTACCYAGGTAAGTGCTTACCGTATAAATTGTTGCATTCGATACGTTTTGATGTAYTAAAATCTTACKCATCAAAGTAAATTATAGTGTTGACTCCTATAGGTAAGCACTTTCTGAGTAAGCATTTAGGTAWTCAGCCCCTTATTATAAAGTTCAAGGTCGATTCAATCTGACTTTTTCCCAGATCAAATCACGTTGATTTTCCCCAAGATCAAACCGCTACTTTGTGGACCCTTGATTTACTTTAAAGATAAACCACCTGCTCAGAAAAATCTGATCAGATAAAAGAGACATTGCACTTGCGTGTTGTGAAAAGATAGTTCTCCAATCTCCACAGAGCCAAAGGATAAAGGGGAAATGGACAATAATCATGTTCCACTTAATTCAACAATATTCACAAATGAATCCACTTAATTCAACAATATTCACAAATGAATCCACTTAATTCAACATATTCACAAATGAATTATGAATCCACTAACTAATATATATACACTAATACATTTTCATAAGCCTTTGATTGGACAAACTGGGAGACTTGCTAGGAGACAGATGTGGACTTTGACACTTACCTATGTTTCATATCTAATGGAATCACCAACTATATATATATATATAAGTTCTACCTTCACATACCACAAATCAACTCACATAAGAAGGGAGAAAAAAGATAGCAAGAAACAAACAAWCGAATCAACGATGAGTACCGTAATAGACGTTTCTAACGAAAACGAAGCTTCTCCCGACAGCAAGAATCAAAAGAAACCCTCTTTCCTTCGCGGGGTTTCTTCTTTCATAGAGAAAAAGTTCGGGAAATATATGCAAAAGATCAYTCATAGCATTAAGGTCGGAATTGCCTTGGTTTTGGTTTCGCTTCTCTATCTCCTCGATCCACTTTTCGAGMAAGTTGGGGAAAATGCCATGTGGGCTATCATGACGGTTGTGGTTGTCTTCGAGTTCTTTGCAGGTTAGTCGTCAAATTTTGAACTTACTAGACAAGCTTCTATGTATRCTTGTATTTTTTTTGTTATCCATACTCTATAGGTGTTTGGGTCAGCTTGTGTGCACCTTGACTAATCCTAGAGGCCTGAAGAACAACAACCAGAGAAATCCCMAATGGCCTTGSAGGACTCGACCCAGTGACTTCTGAGAATGATCCCCAAAGGCCCGGGGCTTCTCGCTTGTATTTTAGTTCTAACTCACTTGGTATCTCCAAAAACAAGTTTGTTCTAAYGGTTGATATGTATGCTAGGTGCCACATTAAGCAAAGGGTTACTTCGTGGATTCGGAACTATACTTGGCGGTGGATTGGGGTGCTTGGCAGCAATTTTGGCGGACGATTTGGGAAAGATTGGAAATGCGGTTGTGGTTGGTGTTTCGGTCTTTACTTTTGGTAAGGACGAATGTTTCCCCTAAACTTTATACATATACGAACCTTACTCTACACACACACACACACACATATATATATATATATATATATATTACGTTCATGTGAAAACCATAAAAAGTTTGAGAAGCAGAGAACTCGTACGTTAAGTAATGCATATACACTAAACAAAAAATGTATTTCCTCGATGAATACATTCATTAATGCCTATCTATGATGCATGGAAGTATATAGGCATGAATGCATATAATCATTGAAATTCATTAGCGCATATGCATCAATGAATATATAGGTTCTTATGTTCTCAAATGAACCGACCCTCTATATATATATAGGTTGGGTTAAGGAGAAACTATAAAATAATAGAAAATTAAGGAACAYCCRTATAACYATTCATATGTCTGGTATGCACATRCATACATGCAAAGAAWCCAAGACACATTTTCGATTACTTTTATACAYATGTGCATACCAGACAAATGAATGGTTATTAGGGTGTTCATGAGTTTTCCATTTTTTTGTCGTTTTCCCCAAACCTGAGTCTATACGTATATACTTGTAGCATTGTTTAAGAATATTATGTAATTAACATGTAGGTGCSGCGGCAACATATTGTCGATTGATTCCAAGCATAAAAAGGAAATACGAYTACGGGTTCATGATCTTCATACTCACCTTCAATCTGGTAGCCGTATCTGGTTTACGTGCTGATAAAGTCATAGAATTAGCCCGTGAACGTCTCTCAACGATTGGTATGGGTTTTGCTGTCTGCATATTCACGAGCTTACTCGTGTTTCCAGTGTGGGCTAGCGATGAACTTCATCGTTTGACATCTTCCAAGTTCGACAAACTAGCTTGCTGCATTGAAGGTAGTTAGTACATTCATACGAAAACTGCTTTATAGGATGCCAAAAATGTCCAAGCATCATAATAGACTGCTTTATAAGACTTAATATTATAGGACCAAACGATAAAGCATCATATCTAAAGATGTTGTAATAAGTTTATAGAACGTTTTTTGACATCCTAACAAGTTTTTACGGCATTTTTATAAAAAAACGTCGTATTAGCTATTTTACAGGGCACTATTTAAAAAAAACGTCTAACAAAAATAATCGTCCTAAATGTCCTGTAAAATGGTTGATACGGCATTTTGTTTAAAAGTGTCCTAAAAAACTTGTTAWGACGTACAAAAACGTCCTGTAAACTTATTCAAAGTTTTTTTAATTAAAAAATCATATTAGTTATTTTATAGGACACTATTTGAGAAAACATTTTATAGAAATGAGTATCTTTAAAAGATTTGTTCATAAGRCACTTCTCAAAATTGTCATATAAAATAGCTAATAMGACTTTTTGTATTATAAAAGTGTCATAAAAGAGTYGTAAAACGCACMAAAAARCGTGCAATAAGCTTATTACAACASCTTTAGATATAACATCTTATAATTTGGTCATATAAAGTATAAACTTAACAGTTAAGTTTTATGAAGGGCAAATTGCATGAAAAAGTAATGTACTTTAAYTTGATTCCTGTTTTGGATAACGTACTTTCAAAACTTCCATTTTGGTACCTAAGATGTAAAGTTTTAAACATTTAAGTAMCYGGGTAACTGGTTAAAGCATTAACCGGTTACCATGCTGATGTGGCGAGTGATGGGATGAAATTGGGTTGAATRACAAATAATAYTGAGTTGSATACCACATCGRCATGGTAACCGGTTAATGCTTTAACCGGTTACCATGATACTTAATTGTTTAAAACTTTACATCTTAARTACAAAAAATGAAGTTTTRTAAGTACGTTATCCAAAATAGRAATCAAATTAAAGTATGATTACTTTTTGATGCAATTTACTTTACTGTACTAATTTTTAAATGATGGATTGCAGATTGCATGAAAGTGTACTTCMGTGTAGTAAATGAGAAAGAAAGCATGCCAAGCATTAATATCAGTGGTTGCAAGTCGGTATTGCACTCCAAATCAAGTGATGAATCATTGGTAATATTTCTTACTACTTATTAGACCATGTTTACATTCACTTCAAACTACTGACTGAATGAATAAGTCACTATAACAAAATCGAYTTTATAGAACGTCACAATTCTATAAATGTCTTAACAGAGTGCTTTATAAGGACTCAAGGTTATATGATTAAAGAATAAAATGTTTAATCTAAAAGTGTTACAATAAGTTTATAGGGTGTTTTTTTGACATCGTAACAAGTTTTTCAGAACTTTTTAAAAAAAATAAAGTGTCTTATTAGCTATTTTATTGAACATTTTTTTGAGAAATGTCCAATAATCACWTCTTTTTGTATAACACGTGTTTATAAGACCTTTTTTCAAATAATGTCAAATAAAATAGTCGACAAGGCATTTTATTTTAAGATGATCTTAAAGGACTTTGTTACAACGTCAAAAAACGTTCTATAAATTTATTGCAACACTTATATATATATATATATATATATCTATATATATCTATATCTATATCTATATATATATATATATATATATATATATTGGTCCTATAAACTTAACTCGTATAAGACACTCTATTTAGACATTTAAACACTTTAGGCGTCCTATAAACTCAATTTTACTTCTAAGTGTTATAAATTACTTGGGATCTCCATCCTTGGATCAATYCTAATTGAAGATCAACACTAATGCGGTGCACCAAGATGCACCGGCTCAATTCTCGTGATAAGCGCAATCCATAGGTTGGTGGTGAGATTAAAAATGATCAAGGGTCCAGATCATTTCTTACGCTTCTCATCTTAACTCTTATTCTCACACGACCCTTCATCTATATATATGTATGTATATATAGACTTGGGATCATATGAGACTACTTTTTTACACTTGAAACTTCATAGCAAAACGCTGTGATGGTAACTTTTATAGTGTTTTTGCTGTGAAGTTTCAARTGTAAAAAAGTGGTCTCACAAAACAGGTTGGTCTCACGTGAATCCAACTTTATATATATATATATATATATATATATGTGTTATATATATATATATATATATATATATATATATATATATATATGGAAGAGTGTAACATAATGAAATCTTGAAATGTTGTTTGATTTTATAGGCAAATTTTGCAAGATGGGAACCATGGCATGGAAGATTTGGATTCTATTATCCATGGGAGAAATACATACAAATAGGAGAGGTTATTAGGGAACTTGCTTCAATCATTCTATCCATGCAAAAATGTCTTGAATCACCAATGCAGGTTTGTAATACTTATCATCTGTTTCTCATATCACTACAACAAAATCGAGTTATTGGATGTCAAAAGCGTTTGAAATGTACTAATAGAGTAATAGACCACTAGTAATAGACCACTTTATAGAACTTACGTTTATAAGACAAAACATCTATGTGTCATATCTAAAAATGTTACAATAAGTTTATATGACCTTTTTAGGTGTTTTAACAAACTTTTTAGGACATTTTTGGAACAAAGTGTCCTATTAGCCCTTTTACAGGACACTTGTTACAAACACATCTTTTTATGAGATACTTATTTTTATAAGACGCTTTTCAACTAGTGTCTAATAAAAGGGCTTAAAGGACACTTTGTCTCAGAAGTGTCCTAAAAAGCTTTTTAAGACACTTGAAAACGTCATATAACTTATTACAACACATTTAGATATGACAAAAGTGTTTGCTCTTATAACCTTAAATCCTATAAGCAGTCTACTATGACGCTTACATATTTTCACCTTTGAATACATCTTTTTTAATAGGACATTTCTTAAAAGTGTCCTATAAAATGGCTATTAAAACATTTTGTTTCAAAATTGTCCTAAAATGTTTTTTAAGACACCTAAAAACGTCATATAAACTTATTACAAAGTCTTAATATAAAACACACAAAGTGTTTGGTCCTATAAGCTAAAGTCCTATATAGTAATCTATTAGGACACTTGGACATTTTTGGTGTCCTATAAACCTAATTTTGTTGTATTACAAATACCAATTTAGTCAAGTGACTTACATTGCTAAATGGTTGCGATCAGCCCTCGAGACCGCTACAACATGCAATCAAAGAGCCATGCAAAAGTGTCGGGGTGTCGCTTGGATTAACGATGCGAGAGCTAGGGGAAAGTATGATGAATATGAAAAGATGCCAAGCGAAGGTCCTAACGGTGCCAAAGTTGCAATCCACGAAACTAGACCTGATCCTACTTTCAACTTCACCGAAGCTACAAGGGATTGCAAACGTCGAGTCCCTTGCGATCGCAAACTTCTTGTTTTTATTGATGGAGATTGTCGATAAAGTTGAAGTCTTGGCCAAAGAAGTCGAAGCACTTGGAGAGGTTGCTGGTTTTCGATCCAAATAGACGACTAACTTCTTGTATATACAATATAGCCTTCATTACAACAAAATCGGGTTTATAGAACGTTAACACTTTCTAGGTGTCACAATAAACCGYTTTATAAGAATTAAGTTTATAGAATCAAACAATTAAGCATGTGTTGTAATAAGTTTATATGACCTTTTTGGACGTCTTAACAAGTTTTTTTGGACATTTTTAATAGAAAGCGTCACAYTTATATGATACTTTTGAGAAGTGTCCTATGAGCACATCTGTTATAAGACACTTGTTTTTATAAGACACATTTTTCAAATAGCGTCTTATAAGATAACTAATACGACATTTTATTATAAATATGTCCTAAAACACTTGTTACGACGCACAAAAGTGTCATATAAAGTTATTATAACACCTATAGATAGAAGTTTTATTGTTTGATCATATAAACTTAAGTCTTAAAATACATTCTATTAAGACGCTTAGATATTTTTTACGTCCTATAAACCCGTTTTTGTTGTAGTTCTTTTAGAGTGATTAGGTATGAATGTGCCCAAGTGAAGATGAATTTTCAATCAGAGAAGATGGTAAGCCAACACAACCTCAGAAAACAGTAGAAACATATATATATATATATATATATATATATATATATCACGTGAGACCACTTTTTTACACTTGAAACTTCACAGCAAAATGCTATGAAAGTAACCTTCACAGTGTTTTACTCTTTTTACATGTTGGTCTCACGTGAACCCAACCATATATATATATATATATATAT